TGGACCCCAAGAAGATCCAACCAGTCCATCCTCCAGGAAATGAAGTCTGACCATTCACTGGAGGAAAGGACAGTAGAGGCCAAGATGAAGAACTTTGGCCACATCATGAGGAGACAGGAAAGCTTGGAGAAGACAATGATGTTGGGGAAAATTGAAGGAAAAAGGAAGAGGGTCCGATCAAGGGCAAGGTGGGTGGATGGCATCCTTGGAGTGACTAGAAATAATTCCCAACTGCTCACTAGAGAGAAGGACATTAGAGGCCAAGATGAAGTCCTTTAGCCACATCATGAGAAGACAGGAAAGCTTAGAGAAGAGAAGGATGCTGGGGAAAAGGGAAGGAAAAAGGAAGAGGGGCCGACCAAGGGCAAGGTGGATGGAAGGGATCCTTGAAGTGTCTGTCTTGACCTTGAGAGAGCTGGGGGTGGTCACGATTCTGAGTGGTTGCTGGGAACACGAGGAGGTTGAATGAAGGCCAAAGATGGTTTATGGAAGTCTGAAATGGTAGCTTTACATGAAGAAGGAAAGAAAATCTCCCAATCTTCAGAGTTCAGACCTTGTGAAAGAGACTAGCTAGAAGACTTGTGATACAAGGTCTTTTTCTTGTTCTTCAAGTGCATTACTGTTTGCGTGCAGATATCTACACTGTAGAAATAGAATATTTTGACTCCATGGGCTCAGTGCTATGGTACCCCTCATTGGAGGGAAAGAGATGAGAGGCAAAGATGAAGTCCTTTGGCCACATCATGAGAAGACTGGAAAGCCAGGGGAAGGGAATGATGGTGGGGAAGATGGAAGGAAATAGGAAGAGGGGCTGACCAAGGACAAGATAGATGGAAGGCATTCTTGAAGTGACTGGCTGACAGGAAGCTCTGGCCTGGGATGGTCCAGGAGGTCCCCAAGAGTCGGAAGTGACTGAACAAATAAACAACAACCAATGATGCTGGGGGAAAAGAAGGAAAAAGGAAGAGGGACTGACCAAGGACAAGATAGATGGAAGGCATTCTTGAAGTGACTGGCTGACAGGTAGCTCTGGCCTGGGATGATCCAGGAGGTCACCAAGAGTCGGAAGTGAATAAACAACAACCAATGATGCTGGGGAAAAGGAAGGAAAAAGGAAGAGGGGCCGACCAAGGACAAGATGGCATTCTTGAAGTGACTGGCTGACAGGGAGCTCTGGCCTGGGATGGTCCAGGAGGACACCAAGAGTTGGAAGTGACTGAACAAATAAACAACAACCAATGATGCTGGGGAAAAAGAAGGAAAAAGGAAGAGGGGCTGACCAAGGACAAGATAGATGGAAGGCATTCTTGAAGTGACTGGCTGACAGGTAGCTCTGGCCTGGGATGATCCAGGAGGTCACCAAGAGTCGGAAGTGAATAAACAACAACCAATGATGCTGGGGAAAAGGAAGGAAAAAGGAAGAGGGGCCGACCAAGGACAAGATGGCATTCTTGAAGTGACTGGCTGACAGGGAGCTCTGGCCTGGGATGGTCCAGGAGGTCACCAAGAGTCGGAAGTGACTGAACGAATAAACAACAACCAATGATGCTGGGGAAAAGGAAGGAAAAAGGAAGAGGGGCCGACCAAGGACAAGATAGATGGATGGCATCCTTGAAATGACTAGCTTGACCTTGAAGGAGCTGGGGGTGGTGACGGCCCAGGGAGCTCTGGTCCAGGAGGTCACCAAGAGTCAGAAACGACTGAATGAATAAACAACAGATCTCACAACCTCTGAGGATGCTTGCCACAGATGCAGGCGAAAGGTCAGGAGAGAATGCCTCTAGAACAGGGGTCCTCAAACCTTTTAAACAGAGGGCCAGGTCACAGTCCCTCAGACTGTTGGAGGGCTGGATTATAACGTGAAAAAAAAATGAATGAATTCCTATGCACACTGCACATATCTTATTTGTAATGCAAAAAGAGTTAAAAGCAATACAATAATAATTATTTTTTATTTATTTCATTTATATACCGCTTTTCTCAGCCCTCAGGTGACTCAAAGCAGTTAACAACAGCAAAATTCAATGCAAAAACATCACAAAACGAATATGGGACAGTTAAAAAACAGTAGCATCATCAACGATTAAACATCAATATAACAATCATTAGCGTCTCATCAGTAAAATCAGAATCCAATCTCATCATCCATTATTCCGTATTCCTATATTCAATTACACTGCTTAATCGAATGCTTGTTCAAACAGCCAGGTCTTCACTTTCCTCCGAAACGCCAACAGGGAGGGGGCCGATCTGATATCTGTAGGAAGGGCGTTCCACAGCCGAGGGGCCACCACTGAGAAGGCCCTGTCTCTCGTCCCCGCCAAGCGTGCCTGTGATGCAGGCGGGACCGAGAGCAGGGCCTCCCCAGATGATCTTAACATCCTAGCTGGTTCATAGGAGGAGATGCGTTCGGACAGAATAGCCGGTCCTTTCAACATCTTTATTAACGACTTAGTGAAGGGCTAGAAGGCATGATCATCAAGTTTGCAGACGACACCAAATTGGGAGGGGAGCTAATATCCCAGAAGACAGGAGCAGAATTCAAAACGATGACAGATTAGAGAGATGATTGGCCAAAATTAACAAAATGAAGTTCAACAGGGACAAATGCAAGATACTCCACTTAGGCAGAAAAAAGGAAATGCAAAGATACAGGATGGGGGACAATGCCTGGCTCGAGAGCAGTACGTGTGAAAAAGATCTTGGAGTCCTCGTGGACAACAAGTTAAACATGAGCCAACAATGTGATGTGGTGGCAAAAAAAGCCAATGGGATTTTGGCCTGCATCAATAGGAGCATAGTGTCTAAGGAAGTAATGCTACCCCTCTATTCCGCTTTGGTTAGACCACACCTGGAATATTGTGTCCAATTCTGGGCACCATAATTCAAGAGAGATATTGACAAGGAGGAGGAGGACGACTAAAATGATCAAGGGGAGAACAAGCCCTATGAGGAGGCTTGTTCACGTTTAGCTGGGCATGTTTAGCCTGAAGAAGAGAAGGCTGAGAGGAGATATGATAGCCATGTATAAATATGTGAGAGGAAGCCACAGGGAGGAGGGAGCAAGCTTGTTTTCTGCTTCCCTGGAGACTAGGGCGCAATGGAACAATGGCTTCAAACTACAAGAGAGGAGATTCCATCTGAACATGAGGAAGAACTTCCTGACTGTGAGAGCCGTTCAGCAGTGGAACTCTCTGCCCCGGAGTGTGGTGGAGGCTCCTTCTTTGGAAGCTTTTAAACGAGGCTGGATGGCCATCTGTCAGGGGTGATTTGAATGCAATATTCCTGCTTCTTGGCAGAATGGGGTTGGACTGGATGGCCCAGGAGGTCTCTTCCACCTCTTTGATTCTAGGATTCTATGATTTATAGGCTAATGCCAGCACTTAAAATGAAGAACAATTTTAACAAATATAAACTTTTTAGTATTTCAATGGGAAGTGTGGGCCTGCTTTTGGCTGATGAGATAGGATTGTTGTTGTTGTTGTTGTTGTGCTTTCAAGTCGTTTCAGACTTAGGTTGACCCTGAGCGAGGGCCGGGTAAATGACCTTGGAGGGCCATATATTATTTATTTATTTATTTATTTACTGCACTTGTAGACCGCCGTTCTCAGCCCTAGGGCGACTCACGGCGGTGTACAACATATAAAAACAATTACAATAAAGGCAATATCACAAACAACAATAACAACATCACTATCAATAATACAATTACACTAAATCATTCGCGATGTCTCATCATAGAATCACAATCCAATCTCGTTTTCCATATTCCGTTCCAATCATCATTGCCAATTGTTGTAGCACTTAGTCAAACGCCTTCTCAAACAACCACGTCTTTAGTCTCTTGCGGAATGTCATAAGGGAGGGCGCCTGTCTGATGTCTACAGGGAGGGTGTTCCACAGCCGGGGGGCCACCACCGAGAAGGCCCTATCCCTCGTCCCCGCCAGGCGTGCCTGTGAGGCAGGCGGGATCGAGAGAAGGGCCTCCCCAGACGATCTCAAAGTCCTCGTGGGCTCGTAGGCCGAGATGCGGTCAGACAGGTATTTTGGGCCGGAACCGTTTAGGGCTTTGTAGGCCAACACCAGCACCTTGAATTGGGCCCGGTAGCAGATCGGCAGCCAGTGGAGCTGGAACAACAAGGGCGTTGTATGCTCCCTGCGTCCCGCTCCTGTTAGTAACATGGCTGCCGCGCGCTGGACTAGCTGGAGCTTCCGGGCCGTCTTCAAGGGCAGCCCCACGTAGAGAGCGTTGCAGTAGTCAAGGCGGGATGTGACCAGAGCGCGTACTACCGTGGCCAAGTCAGACTTCCCGAGGTACCACGAGCCTGAGCTGTGCAAATGCTCCCCTGGTCACCGCTGAAACCTGGGGATCCAGGCTCAACGATGAGTCCAGGGTCACACCCAAGCTGCGAACCTGCGCCTTCAAGGGGAGTGCGACCCCATCCAGCACAGGCTGTAACCCTATGCCTGTTCGGCCTTGCGACTGACCAGGAGTACCTCTGTCTTGTCTGGATTCAATTTCAATTTGTTCGCCCTCATCCAGACCGTCACAGCGGCCAGGCACCGGTTCAGGACCTCGACAGCCTCCTTAGTAGCAGGTGGGAAGGAGTATCCGACCCTCAGACCTTAGTTTGAGGACCCCTGCTATAGAACATGGCCATAGAGCCCGAAAAAGACCTACCACAACCCAACAACAACAAAGCCAGGAAGAAAAGCCGTGCTCCATAGTACTATTCCAGCACTACTCCTGCCTCTTCTTGGGCTGCGCTTCGCCTTGGAGGCAGGAGGGGGAAGCCTCGAGTTCTCTCCGGCGGGGCTGCTCCTCTCCTCTCCTCTTTCCCCTCCTCCTTCCCTGGTTCTTTCTTCCTTTCTTCCTTCCCTTCTCCTCCTCCTTCTCCCCTCTTTTTGGCTCCCTCCTCGGCCGCATTCTTGGGCGAAAAGGAGGGCAACAAAGGGGGCCTCCTTCCCTCCGAGGCGTGCTCCTTCGTCTCCTTCTCTTCTCTTTTCGCCTTTTGTTCCAATCGAAGTTTGGGCAAAGTTTTTCCCTCCTTGATTTCTTGGGTCCTTTTTTTTTGTTTGCTGGAAGAGAGCCCAGAGGAGTGGAAAACTCTCCCTCCTCCTCGCCTTCCTGCTTTCTTTCTCTCCCCACTTTTTGGAGTGTCGGGAAAGCTCTCCAAAACTCCGAGAAGGCGCAAAGGACAAAGTTTGGACAAAGTTCTTTGGGAGGAGAATTTTTCCTTTTTTTTGGGTTCTATTTTGGGAAGAGAGTTGGGGGAACTCGGCCGGGCCTCCATTGGTTTGTTCCCCCCCAATTTTGGATGCTTTTCCTCCCCACTTTTTGTACTTTTCTGGACTTTTTTGGGGTGCCCCCAAACCTCTCCAAACTCAGAGGAGGAGGAGACGCACTCCGGAGAGGGCTTTGGAGGCGGAATTCCGAAAAGGAAGAGAGGAAGGGGACTCGGGGGAGGATGGCGTCGGAGCCTCGCCTCCCCTTGGGCCACTTCACCCCATCGCTGCCCCGTTGGGTGGGTCGTAGAGCCCCCTTTTGTCCCCCGACGCGACTCTGTGCGCCCTAAGGAGGAGGGAGGGAGGGAGGGAGGGATGGGCCGGCCGTGGGGTCTCCTCTCCCTCGGGGTCGTGGCCTGGCTCTGCTTCTGCCTGGGGCCCCTGGCGTGGAGTGGGGCCAGAGGGGCCTCCGTCCCGGCCAATGGCACCTCCGGGCGGGCTGCCCCTTCGAGGGAGGAAGGAGAGATGGAGGCGCGGTGCAAGCGGGAGGCGCCCTGCGAGCCCTTGGAGCAGAGCCTCTGCCTGGGCTCCCCGCTGCCCTACGCCGCCACTTCCACGCTCCTGGCCGAAGACTCCGCCACCCAAGCCGAGGCCAGGCACAAGCTGCTCCTCTGGTCCGGTAAGGAAGCCCCCCTCCCCCCCCAAAGAGCCCTTTCTCAGCCCCCCAAAAAAGGCTCCTTCTTTGCCCTCCACTTGGAAAGAAGTTCGCTTTGGGCAGCTTCTCTCTTTTCCTTGCATGCCTCCAAGCAGGGAAATCTCATCCAAGCCTCCCCAATGGATGGCCATGCAGCCTCTGCTTAAAAGCCCCCAAAGAAGGAGCCTCCCTCCACCACACTCTTGGGCAGGCTTCTTCCCCCCAAAGGAGCCCTTTCTCAGGCCCCAAGAAGGCTCCTTCTCTGCCCTCCATTTGGAAAAGTTCGCTTTGGGCAGCTTCTCTCTTTTCCTTGCATGCCTCCAAGCAGGGAAATCTCATCCAAGCCTCCCCAATGGATGGCCATGCAGCCTCTGCTTAAAAGCCCCCAAAGAAGGAGCCTCCCTCCACCACACTCTTGGGCAGGCTTCTTCCCCCCAAAGGAGCCCTTTCTCAGGCCCCAAGAAGGCTCCTTCTCTGCCCTCCATTTGGAAAGAAACACTTGGAAAGAAGTGAGCCTTGGGCAGCTTCTCTCTTTTCCTTGCATGCCTCCAAGCAGGGAAATCTCATCCAAGCACCCCCAAGAGATGGCCATCAGCCTCTGCTTAAAAGCCTCCAAAGAAGGAGCCTCCACCACCTGCAGGGCAGAGAGTTCCACTGCTGAACAGCTCTGACTGTTCTTTCTTTTCCTTGCATGCCTCCAAGCAGGGAAATCTCATCCAAGCCTCCCCAACGGATGGCCATGCAGCCTCTGCTTAAAAGCCCCCAAAGAAGGAGCCTCCACCACACTCTTGGGTAGGCTTCTTCCCCCCAAAGGAGCCCTTTCTCAGGCCCCAAGAAGGCTCCTTCTCAACCCTGTACTTGGAAAGAGACACTTGGAAAGAAGTGAGGTTTGGGCAGCTTCTCTCTTTTCCTTGCATGCCTCCAAGCAGGGAAATCTCATCCAAGCACCCCCAAGAGATGGCCATGCAGCCTCTGTGTAAAAGCCTCCAAAGAAGGAGCCTCCACAAAACTGCAGGGCAGAAAGTTCCACTGCTGAACAGCTCTGACTGTTCTTTCTTTTCCTTGCATGCCTCCAAGCAGGGAAATCTCATCCAAGCATTTATTATTATTTATTATTTACTTTATTTGTATACCGCTCTTCTCAGCCCTTAGGCGACTCAGAGCGGTTTACAACAATTTAGGTATACACAATACAAAATCATTAAGCATTTAAAAGCAATAGCATCACAAATCATTAAACATCAATATCAATACATCACTACATCAATATAACAAATCCATCAGGTCTCATCAATGAAATCAGAATCCAAACTCGTTATCCGATATTCCATGTTCCAATAGTCAGTCAATCAATCACACTGCTTAGTCGAATGCCTGTTCAAACAGCCAAGCATTCCCAAGAGATGGCCGTGCAGCCTCTGCTTAAAAGCCTCCAAAGAAGGAGCCTCAACCACACTACAGGGCAGAGGGTTCCACTGCTGAACAGCTCTGACCTTTCTTTCTTCTCATTGCATGCCTCCAAGCAGGGAAATCTCATCCAAGCCTCCCCAACGGATGGCCATGCAGCCTCTGCTTAAAAGCCCCCAAAGAAGGGGCTTCCATCACACTCTTGGGCAGGCTTCTTCCCCCCAAAGGAGCCCTTTCTCAGGCCCCAAGAAGGCTCCTTCTCTGCCCTCCATTTGGTGCCCTCCACTTGGAAAGAAGTTCGCTTTGGGCAGCTTCTCTCTTTTCCTTGCATGCCTCCAAGCAGGGAAATCTCATCCAAGCCTCCCCAATGGATGGCCATGCAGCCTCTGCTTAAAAGCCCCCAAAGAAGGGGCTTCCATCACACTCTTGGGCAGGCTTCTTCCCCCCAAAGGAGCCCTTTCTCAGGCCCCAAGAAGGCTCCTTCTCTGCCCTCCATTTGGAAAGAGACACTTGGAAAGAAGGGAGGTTTGGGCAGCTTCTCTCTTTTCCTTGCATGCCTCCAAGCAGGGAAGTCTCATCCAAGCACCCCCAAGAGATGGCCATTCAGCCTCTGCTTAAAAGCCTCGAAAAACGAGCCTCCTTCCACCACACTCCAGGGCAGAGAGTTCCACTGCTGAACAGCTTTGATTGTTCTTTCTTTTCCTTGCATGCCTCCAAGTGCTAGAAGCCCCTTTTTGTGTGTGCCATAGAATAAAAACATCATAGAATTATTTTAAAGCCCTGAATTCAAAGAGACCCCCAAAGGCCATCCCATCCAACCCCTTTCCAGAGCCTTAATGCAGGAAAGCAACAGGTTGAAAGAGATCTGGTGGGCCAGCCAGTCCAACCCCATTCCGCCAAGAAGTAGGAAAACTGCACTCAAAGCACTCCTGACAGATGGCCATCCAGTCTCTGTTTAAAAGCCTCCAAAGAAGGAGCCTCCACCACACCCTGGGGCAGAGAGTTCCACTGCTGAACAGTTCTGACTGTTCTTTCTTTTCCTTGCATGTCTCCAAATGCTGGAAGCCCCTTTCTTGTGTGCCATAGAATTAAAAAGCCATATAATTCTTTTAAAGCACTGAATCAAAAGAGATCCCCAAAGGGCATCCGGTCCAACCCCTTTCCAAAGCCTTCATGCAGGAAAAGCAACATCCTAGAATCCTAGATTTGGAAGAGATCTGGTGGGCTATCCAGTTCAACCCATTCTGCAAAGAAGCAAAAAAATCGCATTCAAAGCACCCCCAACAGATGGCCATCCAGCCTCTGTTTAAAAGCCTCCAAAGAAGGAGATTCCACCATATTCTGGGGCAGAGAGTTCCACTGTTGAACAGCTCTGCCTGTTAGGAAGTTCTTCCTCCTGTTTAGGTGGAATCTTCTTTCCTGTTGTCTTGTTACGTCTGGAATAGATTACTACAACACACTCTCCGTGGGGTTGCCTTTGAAGACTGTTCAGAAACTCTAACTAGTCCAGCGGGCAGCAGCCAGATTACTAATTGGAGCGACATAGAGAGAACATACCATCCATCTGTTATGTCAGCACCACTGGCTGCTGGTCCACTTCCGAGCACAATTCAAAGTGCTGGTCTTGGCCTAGAAAGCCCTATACAGTTCTGGCCCAGCTTACCTGTCCAAACGTATCTCCCTCTACATCTCGCCTCGGTATCTAAGATCGTCCGGGAAGGCTCTGCTCTGGGTCCCGCCATCTTTGCAAGCACGTTTTGTGGGGACGAGGAACAGGGCCTTCTCGGTGGTGGCCCCCCGCCTGTGGAATGCTCTCCCTAGCAAAATTAGGTTGGCTCCATCCTTCCTCTCTTTTAGGAAGAAGCCCAAAACATGGTTTTGGGACCAGGCATTCGGACAGTAGGTTTGGCAGTAATCACAGTGTTTGAATTCTGACAATGACAGGCTTTGGACTGAGTCATCGGTCGCTAAATCAGATTTGGATTTGGCTATATGATGAATAATAATGTTGGGGTAGGAATGCTGGGAATAAATAAATAAATAATAAATAAGCCATTGTAGAGGTGCCCACTGCATTCGTTCTACAAAGCAGATGCACCAGATTTCTGCTGAGTTCAGATGGAGTCAAACTGCATTAAGTTTGTACAATGTGGGTGCATCCAAAATTTTCTCCCAACTTTTTGGGAAGCAGGAGGAGGAAGATGACATATTGTTGTTTTTTGCATTGGTTTTCAATGCCAGATATTTTGGGCTCTGTGGGCTTGCACAGAGAGCTGCATTTATTCCACAGTGAAGAGGCACCCTCACAGTATTATTATTATTATTATTATTGAGACAAAAGCACAGTATGTCACAGCAAACGGGATCTCCCTGCTGGATTTCGTATCACAAAATCACAAGTCGGACACTTTCCAAGCATCTAGGACTGTGTGATGTATTTTCGAATGATGCGCACAGATCCAAGTCAGGTGGCCTTTTGCAGTTGACAGATTGCGATTTTGTCGATGTTTATTGTTTCTAAATGCTGGCTGAGATCTTTTGGCACGGCACCCAGTGCGCCAATGACCACTGGGACCACCTGTACTGGTTGATGCCTTTGCAGTTCGATTTTGAGGTCTTGATAGCAGCTGAGTTTTTCCGGTTGTTTTTCCTCCATGGTGACATCAATAATCCAGACTTTTTTATTTTCCACAATTGTGATATCTGGTGTATTGTGTTCCAAAACTTTGTCAGTCTGGATTCGAAAGTCCCACAGTATTTTTGCATGTTCATTTTCCACAACCTTTGCGGGTTTATGATCCCTTTACCAGTTCTTTACTCCTGGCAGGTGGTCCTTGTGACATAAGTTCCAGTGAATCATTTGGGTCACAGCGTTGTGCCTCTGTTTGTAGTCTGTCTGTACAATTTTCTTGCAACAGCTGAGGAGATGGTCCATGGTTTCATCCACTTCCTTGCACAGTCTGCATTTTGGGTCATCCACTGATTTTTCAATCCTGGCCTTAATGGCCTTTGTCCTGATGGCTTGTTCCTGGACTGCAAGAACCAGGCCTTCTTCTGTCTCCTTCTTCAGGGTTCCATTCGTGAGCCATCACCAGGTCTTCTCCTTGTCAACTTTTCCTTCAATTTTGCCAAGGAACTGCCCATGCAAGGCTTGGTTGTGCGAGCTGTCAGCTCTGGTTTGGAGTTTTCTTGTACTGACTCTTTGTCTGCTGTGCTTTGAGAAGTTTCCGATTATTGACTTCAATTAAAGCAGGTTCTTGGCTTTCCTTGACATATTCTGCCAGGGTATTGTGTTTTTCTTCTTCGACTGCTTGTTTGACTTGTAAAAGTCCTCTGCCACCAGACTTTTGAGGTAGATAGAGCCGGTCAACATCACTGCGAGGATGTAATGAATTATGAATGGTCATGAGTTTTCTAGTTTTACTGTCCAAATTGTCCAGTTCTGCCTGTGTCCAGTTTATGATGCCAGCAGTATATTTTATGACAGGTATGGCCCAGGTGTTGATGGCCTTGATGGTGTTGGCTCCATTGAGCTTGGTGGAGGGTTTAACTGCTCCAAGGATGCTGAGAGCTGTGCT